ATCAATCTCTTAACAGCTATCTCAGTAGATATTCACCAATCAATTCATTTTTAAGATATTCATTTCTACTTTATGCCTTTCAAATGCAAATTTGAATGTTAATGTTTATTTTACTTGTATCCATCTATGGCAAATATAAATGGATAAAAACATATATGTGCTTCAGAGTGTTCGTGCGTGCATTTAGAATTTTCAAAACGTATTATAATTTCCTTTGTTGAAAAAATTATACTGGAATACATTTGAACGAATGATTCATACTCAACATTTGTCATTGGGTCAATATTTACATTCGTGAACATTTTTAGCATGATCATTTTCTCATTTTTAGAATTCTCGAAATAATAAATCCTTCTACTACTGTCCGTCTCTTGAAATATATATATACACACACGTGTATATATATATATATATATATATATATATATATATATATATATTAAGGCATTAAAAACAAGAAATTTTATATTGTAGGCCATGATAGATTTAAAACAAAAACACACACCAGTTTCGTCCACTGTCATTAGCACTGTTAACAGGGAACTAAAATTATGAGGAAAAGAAAAAGAAAAAGTCTGTTATAGATGACATAATTTTAGTTCCCCGTTAACAGTTCTGATGAGAAGTGACGAAACCGGTCGACTGGTGTGTATTTTGTTTTAAATCTATTATGGCCTACAATATAAAATTTCTTGTTCTTAATGCCTTAATACGCTTCTGTACTGTTTCAATTATATACATATATATATATATATATATATATATATATATATATATATACCCGACTCTCCAGTCGAATTCGTCGTATGAGGGTGAGCCAGATCAGTTCCTAGGAACCGACACTCTGGCACCAGCACATGAGATTTGATAATAGTGGTGAAGGTTTTGTGCAGTAGCATTCACACTTTTTGAAGGGCCGAATACAGAGACCTGGTGCACTAAGTGCCACAAGGTCCAAAAAACGACCATCTGCAGGTTTTGAGTTCAAAATTGTCCTTCTCCTAGACGTGTTGCGATGCAAGACTATAGAACCCAGCTTGTCCTGCTATTTACCCATAGCTGGAGGGAAAAGAAGAGGATTCATACCTTCCCCAAGGGTATTAACACGTAAGTAAATATAATGGATTCGACTGATCTCGGCTCTCCGATTCCTCAATCCACTATCCATTACTCCTCTGTGACTCCTCTTATGTATATATATATATATATATATATATATATATATATATATATATATATATATAATCGACTCTCCTGTCGAGATTCGATGTATGAGGGTCAAGCAGATCAGTTTCAAGAAACCTACAGCCCGACACCGGCACATGAGATTTGATTATAGTGGTGAAGGTTTCGTGCATGACCATCCACACTTTTTGAAGAGCCGAATATAGAGACCTGGTGCACTACGTGCCACAAGGTCCCCAAACAACCCTCCGCAGGTTTCGAATTCAGAGTTGTGCTTTTACTAGACCAGTTGCCATCCAAGTCTATAGAACCCAGTCTGTCCTGCTATTTTACCCATAGCTGGAGGGAGAGGAAGATGATTCATACCTTTCCCAATATATATATATATATATATATATATATATATATATATATATATATATTAATGAAGGACGAGAGAAAATCGCCTTGTGTATACATATTTGTTTTCTTTATTTACTTTCGTCGCATCCATGTCATCATCAGGGTATTGTTGATCATAAAGTTAAGAAAACACTGTTCTTACTGTTCTTTCTTTTTATTTCAACATACATATATATATATATATACATTTTATGTATATATACTTTTTCTTTGTTGTTTGCTATATATATATATATATATATATATATATATATATATATATATCCATTATTCCTCCTTATATACATATATATATATATATATATATATATATATATATATATATATATATATATAAATTAGAATTGTTTCATTGTATATTTTAGATGTATTTGTCTATTTATTTTCGATATATATATATATATATATATATATATATATATAACAATCAACCAAAAAAAATATATAAAAAAAATTATATATATATATATATATATATATATATATATATATATATATATATATATAACCGTGGGTGTTAGCTCGCTGAAGCTAGAAAATGTTTACACCAACCAAATATAATATTTATATAAACCCTTCTGGTTTCTGGTCATCGGATCTGATAGGCTAATTTAATTTATTGCCCTTTCATCCTCAAAGGTTTTTGTCTTTCATTCCTAAATGAAGAAGCCGAGATCGACGCAACTCTGTTAAACACGTAGTTTATAAGATTTTCCATTTTGTCTCATCATCTCCACGTTTATTTCGGATATTATTATCCATCCCACCCCCATAAACACATGCACATAGCCAGCTCGCTAAATAGATATCCGCTGTTTGTACAAACACTGTTTCTTCTTTGATATGTCTAATCTTTCCAAGACGTAGGTATTCATGTCTATCGGTAACTCACTTTTATAAACTAATTCTTTACTCTTTCCCTTCTTTGCTACTATTCTGTCATCCATTCTACTGGGTGCGATGGGTAAATTATCGCCGTTTTATTTTCTTAATTTCGCGCATGCTCGTTGACTGTTTTTGATTTTGTCGACTGAACAGAAGAGTCAGTTGGGCACCATCTATGAGAAAAAAAGAAATTTAGAAAAGGCATGCTGTACTGCTTGGCATTTGCATCGGAAGGTCCAATATGAACATTTCAGCGTGTTTGGGTGTCAGTTCAGAGGATTCTAATGGTGATTACGAAGGTACGGCAGCTCGGAAAACTCACTTTGATCGTTCAGATAACTCCCGAATTTTTGGTTAGGGCCCCATACCAAACATGGAAGCCTACATAAAGGGCCTTGATGAGGTAGTTCTGTCTGGGTCAAGAGGATGGCTGCTGGAAAAACCTATGTCTAGCAACAGGTGTCTTCACCATGCCACACAAGCTGGAGAACCCAGTCATGGCTGTCAGACAATTTCTGCGACCATATCACCCCTTACACCTGGCCACCTAACTCCCCAGACTGTAACCCTCTTGATTATTATGCTGAAAACCCCTTAAGTATTATGTGTTGGGCGTAATTGAGCGCGAGATTAACAAAACTCATACTAACACGAAAGATGAACTGAAAGCAAGGATTATGACAGCAAACAAGGAAAGAGTCTAAAACAGATGCATTTAGTTCTGAGATCATCTGGAGGCCGTGATTGAAGCCAATGGCGATTTTATTAAATAAATTTACTCTTTAGTATTCCAAGATAATTTTGCGTAATTTTGTTAAATATATATCTTAAACTAAGATGGCAGTGTTATTTTCATTTCCGCGTCATTTAAATGACAATTTATTCATCGCACACTGTAGATTGCTTACTGTCTTTTCCTTGCTTCTCATGTCTTCGGTATGTGCCGTTTTAAATTCCCTAGGCCTTCCTCATAATATGTGCGTGAAATTTCAACTGTCTCTTTCTGATTATAAGTATACGTTTCCTTGTTGTTCCTGTTTTCCTTAAAACTTCATAATTGCTCACATGTTTTATTCATGGTATACATCACATTCGTTGATAAAATCACGTTGCTGATGCGTCAAATCAGTTTTTCTTCGCTGAAAAAAATTTCACTGCTATGCAGGGTTTTTTTTTGTATCACATAGTAGTTCGTCAGACTTTGTTTTTGACGGATTATTTGTTTTAATAATTTGCTTAGGTTCTGGCAGTCATCTTCCGACGAGCTTTTTTATTTCTCTGACGGCGATAGTTAATCTTTTGGAACAGCTCTTGTAACGTATCGTGCAGCTTGATCTGTCTCTTTTGCTAACGATAATAAATTTTGCTTTCTTACAAGAAATACTTCGTCCTTTCTTCTTGCTTTCCATTATTAATTATGACTTGATGCCTTCTGTCGATGACAACTTTTTCTGACATAGATAGAAAGAAATAGATAGATATCAACCGAATGTGACAGATAGATAGTTGGATAGATAGATATCATCCGAATATGATAGATAGATAGATAGATAGATAGATAGATAGATAGATAGATACGAACAGAATGAGATAGATAGATAGATAGATAGATAGATAGATAGATAGATAGATACGAACAGAATGAGATAGATAGATAGATAGATAGATAGATAGATAGATAGATAGATAGATAGATACGAACAGAATGAGATAGATAGATAGATAGATAGATAGATAGATAGATAGATAGATAGATATTTTCGAATGAGATATAGATAGTAGCAGACTGTGATAGCTTGAGGTAAAGTTAGATATGAACAGACCGAAATATATATGAAAATACTGACATAGATAGATAGATAGATAGATAGATAGATAGATAGATAGATAGATAGATAGATAGATAATGAACCGATTGAGAGAGAGAGGGAGAAAGATAGATACATAACAGTAGAGTGTGATAGGTAAATAGATAGGAACAAACTGAGATAGATAGATAGATAGATAGATAGATAGATAGATAGATAGATAGATATTTTCGAATGAGATATACATAGTTACAGACTGTGATAGCTTGAACGTTAGATATGAACAGAACGAAATATATATGAAAATACTGACATAGATAGATAGATAGATAGATAGATAGATAGATAGATAGATAGATAGATATCAACCGAATGTGACAGATAGACAGATGGATATGAACGGATTGAGATAGTTACAGACAGAAAGAATGATACATAACGGGAGAGTGTGGTAGATAGATAGATAGATAGATAGATAGATAGATAGATAGATAGATAGATAGATACGGAGAGAATTAGATAGATAGATAGATAGATAGATAGATAGATAGATAGATAGATAGATAGATAGATAGATAGATAGATAGATCGGAGCAAACTGAGATAAATAGATGACGCATCTTCTCACTGTTTATGCATGGCTGTTGTCGATGTTCCGTAATGTCTCTACGAGATCACACTTTTCGTTGAGTCATTTATCTTTTTTTCCTGTTTACATCT